CCCCCGCATGCCCCGCCCCTGCAGGGTCGGGCCCGCCCCCCCGCGGCCTCACGTGAGCATGGAGACGCCGTGGGGCGTGGTGGGCGCGCTGTGGCGCCGCATGTGCGCGTACATGTCGGGGAAGCTCTTTTTGATGTAGGCCTCGGCGCTGCTCTCCCACACGGTGCCCACGCGGAAGCCCTGGGACGGGTGGTGCAGCTGCGGGGGCAGCTCGTCAGCCCGGGCCGCTGTCGCCCTGGCCTCCGGCTGTCCCGCGCGCCCTGCTCCGTGCACCGTGCTGGGGCTGCCCGGGGTCCCCAGGGCTCTCGCCCAGCTCCTCCCGCCGCCGCCGCCGGCCCGACTGGGGCCCCTCTGGGCGCCGAGAGGGGGTCAGCAGCACCCCTGCCCCACCCACTCGGTGCCAGGAGCTCCCCAGTCGTGATGTTCCGCGACATGGCCCTCTCTCTGTCCCTGGGGGGCAGGATCGCCAGGGTGAGGGCCGCTCTCCTCAGTGCCCACTGTCCATCTCCACGCAGACCTGGCCCCGAGCCCGAGCTCGAACCCCAGACCTCCTCCTCCTCCTCTTCTCACCACCTCCTCCGTGGCCGCCCTGGGGGCCCGCGGGAATCCCTTGGGATCAGGCCCCCCACACCTGTCCTCCCGGCCCTTCCTGCCCCAGTCGGCCCTGTACTGCCTCTTCCCACCCTGTTTCTCTGGTCTCCACGCCACGTGGGTCTGCAAATCCTGTGGTTCCACTTTCAGAACCACCCGGAACCCCGCAGCCCTGCTGGCCGCTCCTCCCTGTCCTGGGTCCCCGGCGCCGCCCACAGTCTGCAAACTCCTAAGGGATGAGTGGTTACACTGACCCACGCGTCCTGATGTGGCCACAGCCCTCCGGAAAAGCCGGACCCTTGTCCTGTGGAGCGTCTAGAGCAGTCCTGTCTGGAACCTTCCGACGAGGAGACCCTGTACCTGTGCTGTTCTCAGTGGCTGTTGGGCACTTACAGTTAATTAATTAAATGTTGAAAGTGGCCGCGTGCGAGTGGCTAGCACATCACAGAGCACTGGGCCCAGGCTGTCGTACCAATTTACAAAGATACAGGGCTTAGGGTGTAGCACCCCTCAGGACACAGCCGGATCCGAACAGTGGGAGCTGCTACGGGACAAAAACAATTTCTCCAGCAAACACATTTTTGGGCAAGAAATAAGTGGAGAGGAAATGTACCCACAGTGCCTGTGTGTTTAGGACCAGATTCGAACAAGCCATGGGGGGAGAAAAGACAGCTGGGAAAAGGGGACCCTGAGTTGTGTGAAAGCTTCCAGAAAACTGGTGAACTGACAGTCCAGTGGCTGGGACTGGCCTGGGTGGCGGGGAGTTGACTTAGGAGCTGGACAATGGGTTCATCCATGGTGCTCGCTGCTCCCTGTTCAGGAATAAACTTTTTCATCAAAAAAAAGAGAAATATCTAGACTGGGGCACACCTCTGCTCTGCCCGCAAGCCGCCAGGGCTCCGACAGAAAGTTCTGTCTCAGAAAGAACCGCTTTAGGCACCCTGCAGGACCTGCCCCGGGGCCTTTGCACCTGCTCTGCCTTCTCTCCCATCATTCCTCCCTGATCTCTACATAAAAGTCTCTCGAATGTCACCCCCTCCCAGAGTTACTTCCTCACCCTCGTTTCAGAAAACGCCCCTCCCGGGACTCCCTGTGTTCCCACTCTGCCTCATTTTCCTTCCTGACGCTTTACAGCCATCTCACACACCAATCCGGCGTGCTTCTCTTGACCGCGACACCTCTCCCTGGGGCACGGAGACCTTCGCCTGTTTGGTCCCGGCCGGGTCCCCTACGCCCGGCGCACACACCGAGCGCTCCATAGATGTTTTCAGGAGCAGGTGGCTGCCGGCGGCTGGGCCTTGGGGCGGGAACCGGGGGAGTGGGAGACCTCCCGGCCCCACGGCTGCCCACCTTGGGGTCATGGATCCCCGACAGCTCCTCGAAAGTCTTGTCCCCGACCATGACGGCGGCCAGGTTGGCCGTGTAGCTGGACAGCACGAGCAGGCAGAAGATGGCCCACAGGTTCATGAGGAAGCGGCCCGTGGGGCACTTGGGCGTCTTGCTGGAGACCGTGCGTCCGAACAGGATGGCGTAGCAGAGGTTGAGCGCCGAGGAGTAGGAGAACACGGTGGCCCGGTTGCGGCCGCGGGGCGTGAGGCCGTAGGGGCTGCGCCACTCGTACAGCGTGAGGAAGAGCGCGGTGAGGTGCAGGGCCGCGAAGACGCCCAGCCACATGGACCAGTGCAGCGGCCACGTGAAGGCGCCGATGGGCGAGGCCGTGTCCCGGGCGCGCACCATGATGCCCAGGCTGGTGGAGAAGAAGGGGCTGCTGAAGTCCAGCACCTGGGAGC